GTGCTGTATGGGTTATTTTTATTTCAGCACTTGTCAACGTTTTACATAATTTCTTGTTTTAATAATCTTCAAAATTGGATTTTATTCTGACATTTTCGTTTGTGTTGATAACATTTTTGTAAAAGTGCAATATCGATATTATTAGATTAAATTTACACATAGAGAAAAGTCCCCTGTTATGAGATAGGCTCCTAATACGAGACAGCGGAGTTTCTGCCAAATTGGCAGGCACGTTATCTGTTGGTTCCGCCATTTAATTTCTTGCCCTCGGAGTGAAATCTGTTTACCGGCAAATTGATTGTTGGATCGTGCAATCGTCGCGACAGAAGATTTGCCATTAAATTTGGACGTTGAAAACCTGCTATCTCATATTAGAATCCTATCTCATAATAGAGCACCTTCCTATACACACGCGACGCGCGCGCGGGCTAAAACGAAGGTAGCTTCCTGCCGTACCGACCGAGTCGCTACTTTCATCCGCAATTCTCGCGTTCGGAGATCAGCGCTGTTGTTCTCCAGCCTACAGACTTTCGACTTGTTTCATGCTGCTGCTGATATTTACCGATATTAACCGAGTTGCAGATACAAGGTGCATTCGAAGCTGATAAAATGGAAATGGAACTGATCGAGTTAAAAGACATAAAGGCTGTACAGGACATAATACACCTTTATCCGGAACGAGTGAAAGCTGAGTGCACGCCGCTTGTTATTGACAATGGTAATTTGTTGGATCTTTGTAATATCGCTCTTCGGCTACAGCAATTGTCACTTTTGAGATGCCAGCAAAGGAACGGTGGGAACTGGATATATTGAATGAAGAGCCAGCATACGATTAGATACTTTTACTCCTGAACAGTTAGTTATTACGTCCAAATCGTATTTTTCTCAAACACTACAAAATTTCGGCGATGCAAGACAAGCCCATTTTTCTGATAAACTTTGGTCCTTGGGTTACCGTTGTTGTAGCAAATGAGCGACACGTTCCAATTGTGTTGCTTATAAATTAACGCAATGCTATTCGACGTTAGGATCCTACAATTGCAGAGTCGGCTGGGCCACCGAAAAGGAGCCGCAGTTGACGTTCAAGAATCTCATAGCGAAGCCGAGGAAAGAACGTGGCAAGAAAGACGGAGAGCCTCAAGTGGGTAACGACATAGCGAACATCGAGGCCGTACGATTTCAACTGAAGACTCAGTTTGACCGAAACGTAGTGACGCATTTTGAGGCGCAGGAGCAGATATTTGATTACACCTTCACGCACATGGGTATAGATACGGAGGGTACCGTAAATCACCCGATTATATTGACAGAGGCATTTCTCAATCCCAACTATTCTCGTAACTGTGAGTAAACGAACGTAGTAGGCGGTTTACGTTGCCGGGCTTACGATTTCCCAATAAATCTCTAAATCCCATGCGTTTCAGTGATGGCAGAATTATTATTCGAATGTTATAACGTACCGTCGGTGGCATACGGGATCGATTGCTTGTTTTCGTATCAGCACAATAACTGCCCGCCTGATGGTCTGATCGTTAGCGTGGGCTATCACACGACTCACGTGATACCGATTCTGGACGGGAAAGCGGACGCCATGAATGCAAGGAGGATCAACGTTGGCGGATATCATATCACGTCGTATATGCATAAACTCCTTCAATTGAAATATCCAGTGCACGTCAATGCGATAACGCTTAGTCGAGCAGAGGTGCATATCATATGTCACAATGAAATGAAGTGAAAAAAAATACAATATAATCCGTATTCCATGCTTTCGATTACTAAATGTCTGTCTCGTAAACGCCAGGAGTTGATACACGAGCATTCGATGATTGCCTTAAACTACCAGGAGGAGTTATCCAAGTGGGCGGATGTGGATTATTATGACACGCATGTTTTAAGAGTGCAATTACCATATGTTGCGCCCGCTACTACTCCCGGCTTAACACTTGAGCAGCAGAAAGAGAGGAAACGGGAATTGGCACGGCGACTTATGGAAATTAATGCGAGGAAGAGGGAGGAAAGAGTTGGTATTTTACTTTTATTTATATGTCGTGGCATTATCGCGTAATATTTAATTGTGCATCTTGTACTTGCAGTTAGCAGAAGATGAAGAGCAGCTTAATCAATTACTAGCAGTCCAAGATCTTCTGGAAGAAGGTGAAATCGACGAATTTGATCAGGCATTGAAGTCCTACTCTCTTGCGAACGAGGCTGATTTAATAAAAATGATTAATAATTTACAAGCAAAGGTAGAAAGAACCAGGCAGAAAATCGTTGCTGCTAACTCGCAAGAGGAGAATATTATAATGGAAGAAAAGCCTAAAATTAAATCAAGCCTTCAGCCTAAGGATCAACAAGATTTTGATGAATGGATTGCCGGGGTTAGAAAGAAAAGGTAGTTCCCATACACATAAAATTGCATATCCGTTGCGTGTGTGTGTATATGTATTTATCTACTAACAAATTATTAAATCTTTATCTTTTTTTCTAGACAAGAAATACTAGACAAACGCCTGGCAAAAAGACAACGAAGGCAAGACATGGCGAAGCGAAGAACAGCAGCCGCACAGGAGAGGATGCGTATAATTAGCCAGTTAGCGAAAAAAGAAAAGCGCGACGATGATTTTGGTATGCGAGACGAAGACTGGGACGTGTACAAAGTTATAAATAGGGTATGTATATCTTTCTTATACAAAGTCATGTGAATTGATATTTTATTATAAAATGTTTCTTTTTTCGTAGGAAGGTGGCGATTCAGACTCAGAATTAGAACAGGAGAAACTATTAGAATTGGAAGATGTCCTGCGTCATCACGATCCAGAATTTGATAGTGCCGGATCTAGCGTTCCTATGGTCCCTGGAGAAACGCATCAGCTTCATGTAGGCGTAGAACGTCTACGAGCACCAGAATTGTTGTTTCAACCGTCTATGATTGGTTCTGTAGAAGCTGGCATTGCCGAGGCAATTGAATTTGTTTTAAAACAGTACACCCATGACGAACAAACGCGTCTTGTGAGCAATGTATTTCTTACCGGTGGATCAACAGCCTTCCCGGGGTTGTTGGAAAGATTGAAACGTGAACTACGCGAAATGAGACCTTTCGGGTCGAACTTTCAAGTGAATATTGCGAAAAATACCAGCTTGGATTCCTGGTACGGTGCAAGAGATTTCGGTCTAAATGGTAATTTTCCTGAGTACTTGGTCAGTCGCAAGGAATACGAAGAGAAAGGTGGAGAGTATTTCAAAGAACACTTGACCAGTAATACTTACACACGATCGCCCGATCCTTTGCCAATGATACAAGTACCTGTAGCCATTGAGCAAGTTGTCGTGGAGGATACCGTGGTTGATGTGGAAATTGAATAAAGGTATTTAATTTGCTAATTTTTATGCGAACAATTTTAAACTTATATTTACTTATTATTAAGGTAAGCCAAGTTACTTATAATTAATAAATCATTAATATGTAATATAATAAAATTTTTTAAAAAACAAAATTTTGAATACTCACCTTGTTATTAAATAGATTTTAGCAAATAAAGCCTGTATAGTTCGATCATGGCGTGACTGATGGGCTTTTATTATTGAATGGATATTAGCAAAAGATACGACCAATGTTTGTTCATGGATACCTACTTTATTACACAAGTATTTCTGTTTGTTCATTTTATTACGAACAAACTACATTGTAGTCTGTTTGCTGATCACAATATACAGTTCCCAAACATCGCATTTCGCCATTCAACACAATTACGCGGGATACGTTTTATACGTTTTACTTTTCTTATTTTTCGAGGACAATCGACATCGGCTTCTGGGCGTTCTTCGTGTAGCCTAAAAAATTATGAAAGTGATCCCTCACCTTAGCGATAAGATTGATTTTACAGCAACCTCAGTTACAAATCTCCGTTCTCGATCCGCGAGAGCTTAAGCTAACATCACAATATAATAATACACTGAAATCATCGAGGCCCCACAGGCAGTTACAACTAACACTACTAATTCTTGCGCAACGTAATTAATAAAGGAACCATATCGCGATGTAACGCTTCAATTTTCGCGATTGCTCGAACCTAATCTGACGTAGAACAAAAAAGAACTCGTATCGTGCGCGATGACATCACAAACTCTTAGATCACAAGTGCACAGCATTTGTTCAATGATACATATTTGATCAAGTTTAAAAAGAAATTCTATGTTTTACACAATATTGCGTACTCACATCTGCATGAAATACGAAACGTGATGTATGCATTGTTACAATGTATAGGACATGTTTTCTTTTTTATAGAATCCTCTGCATAAAAATATGTATTTCGCTTCTACATAGACGTGTCGAAATTGAGTTACATATGAAAACTTTCTACTAAGACAGTACAACATAAATCTAATATTAAAAGCGTACAATGTTTCGAATATTTGCAAACGAAAATTTGAAAGCTCATTACAAGATTAACATGGAACAACCTTTAAAACAACACTGCCGTAGGATACTGAAGTTGGAAACAAAACGGTATATTCACGTGATACTTGATGCTCCATTCCGTTTTATCACACATAATCGTGTAATGAGCTCACGTCACAGATGTGCATTTCATTCGCAAGATTCACCGATGAGTTACATGTACCTCGATACAGCGCAGAAAAAGAAAACTTAATTTAAATATCCTTTACAACTATCACAGTTTGAGGTCGCTGCAAATCAATGTCTCTCGCCTGTAACGACGCGCTATATCTTATGAAATTTTCATTCAGAGAATGGAAGGATAGGCGTGGAGGACACTTGGGTAGTTTTGTTTACAACAAGATTGAGGTAGAATCCAATCTGCAAATAAATACAACTTTTGATCCGCATATGCTATAAGTGAGGGGCTACTTCCGTCAACAATAATGTAACATTAATTAAAAGTAATACGTAGCATTAAAATGACGCCGCGACAACGATGACAGCGATGATGATAATTATGACAGTGATAACAATAATCAATGACGATAAGAGTAATAATGATAATGATAATAATATAAGGATGAAAAGTAATAATAATTCACAATAATAACTAGTACAACAACGGTTAATGTTTCCTTTCTGCAATATAATGGCTGTATGCATTTGTATATATATACATATATATTTATGTATATGTATTCGTATGGTGGGGCAAAGATTGACAGCTATGTACAATACATGCTTGCCTTAGTTGTACCATTTTTATATTATACGCACCTATACCCGCCGCGTTAATTACGTGACAATTAATAATTAATAATATTCCGCTAATGATGATAATCAAAAATAATTACAATAATAATAATCGTAATTATATTAGTATCGTTTGCTCATAAAATATCCTATATGTAACATGTATCAGCAATAATAACTAGGTATGCAGTATGTACGTAAGGAGGATGTGTTGTTTCGGGTAGGATATGTCGATAAAAACTATGGTATACCAAGCGTCAACTTTTTATTATCTCAGCTATCGTCTGTTTCTTCCGTTGTAGTTTTCTTTTTTTTTTTCATCGTTTTTCGCAAAATGACTATTACAAAAGTGCACGTTACTCGCGATTCTCTTACACTTTATTTTACGTACATACATAAATCGGCGTAGATCTACCTACTTCTTCATTGTCGTTTATATTACTTCGGTAGCGTTAATTATTTTCTTTCAGTTATATATATATGTATATATATATATACTTTATTCTCCCTTAACGGAGCACTACGATAATCCCCTTGTTTACACCATACATACATACGTACGTACATACATACACACTTGCGGGTGTACATAAACACGTGACATGATACTTTCTACGCATCGACGGTACATAGATATTATCTTATCGTCGTATATCGTATCATAATTTTGTTCCTCCTGTGATTTTTAATATTCTTCTTTTTTTTTAACACGATATTGCTGACGCGGGTACGTGGGATACCGCGGCCAACAGCAACCCTCCTCAACTTCCCTTACCCACCCGTTACTCGCCAAGGATTCGACGACACGCAATTCCGGACTTGCTTTCGTTCGTCTTTTTTTTTTTAATATCAAGGCTTTTAGGCACCGTTCAAAAACTCGAGTCGAGAGAATTATTAGCGATAGAGAAGAACTTACGCTTGTACTTACGGCCTGGTGACTCTTAGCACCCCCTCCCCTCCACCGATAGACCAGATTTAACATATATTAACCCTTCACAGCTCGTAAGAACGAATCAACGTAATCGGTACGGTGATCGGAAGTTAATCGGCGAGATACATTCGGCGAGGAAATAATTATTTGATGAACGCAATTACGACAGATATAGCCGTTAATATCACCGTGTATAAAGGAAGAGAGAAAAAAAAACAATTCGAAAACTGTCCCCGATTCGCGCGAAATCAATCGTATCTCGTTTTCCAAACTTAAGACATACGTAACAAGACTAGTATCGTATTGTAAATGACGATCCACAAAATCTTACTTTAAAAAAAAAATAACGCGGTCGTAGAACGTGTCCCGGACTACGGTAGAACTTTCCATAAATATCGTGGACCCCTTTACATCGTGATCTATCACCTCTGTGCACTATTATTGCGAAGTGACGTGACGGTAAAGCCGTAAAGAGTCGAATGCGAAGCGCACTCCCGCCGTCGTTGCAAAAAAATATCGTTGGACGAGGAAGACCGTTGTTATATACGTTATATACAGGTGCGGGTTTCGTGCATGCGATAAGTGTCTCGAATCTCTCCTTCGTCGGGTCTCGCTACAAAAATATCAGTATATCTGAAATAAGGAAAAAGCGACGGACACCGTTAAAAAAAGCACGGTGAACGCGTCCGTTTCGCCGTTTGTCTCGTCTACGTTTCCCCCCGCGCCCTCCCCCTCACCCCCCATGCGAATCGATCATTTCTACAGCGATTCGGAAACGCGACGATTTTTCATCCCTCAACGTGGTGGTCGTTCAATCCCGACGTGCCTCCGTAAACATTACGTCCTCTCCTT